GCTTTTCAAGGGGAACTGAGTGGCTGTCAGCAAGGATTTTAAATACAGCGCTCCATAATTTGATTGGTGATTTCTAAATATGACGTAATGTATCGTGGCTGCCTACGTACGGCGGTCGAGAAGGAACATAACACCTCCCTCATCAAGAAGAGAGAGCCGAGAAGGATTCAATTAACTTGCCTATGTACGGCGGTCGAAAAGGAACATAACACCTCCCTCATCAAAAAGAAGAGAGACGAGAGAGAATCAATTCAATGTTTTGCTACAATGCTTGTTGTTAAATACATAGTGTCTGGAAATTATATACATATTAATGCAATTGATTTTCTCTACTGACAATAAAGTTTGTATCCAATATAAAATTTGTTTTAGAGATATAATGTTATGTCTTTGTTGCTAATTGTATCCTCATATGAATCAATATGGATGCTAGATAAACATCATAAAGCCACTGATTGGATGACTATTTTCAGAACGCTTTAAGCTAAATTCAAAGATATTTTTCAGATGTTAATATTACAAATGTGTAAATAGAAAAAATTGTTTATTCATAATGACCAATTTTATCAATTATAGTACTAAATGCATATAACTGATAAAGCATATGTGTAGAAATGTTAATGCGGCTAAACCTAATGAATGAATTAAATACTAGTAATAGAATTTAAAGGTATATTCACAAAAATTAAATAGTGAAAAAAGTTTGATAACAACCAATTTTGTTTGTAATTGCACCTAACTAAATGTATATAAATATTATTGCAGCTAGATAAAAAAAACGGATTAAATTTCTCTAGATATCGCTTAAAATCCTATCATGATTGTATAGGGAACACATTAGAGATATAGAGTGAAGAAGCTTTTCAGTAATGACGCTATGAATTCATTATAAGAATATACTGATGAGATTTTATTACTTCGCTTGTTAGTAAAATCAGAATTACTTATGTATAAAGGAGGTATAGTTGAACTCCTCATTAAGTCCCTGTGGAGTTAAAGTCTTGAATGAATAAATCCATTTGGATTCTTTTTGAAGTAATAGTTTGTTGAAATTCCCTTTTCTTGGATTGGAAAGTAGTTTCTCTATAACTTGAAATCTAAGATTATCAGCATTCCCCTGGTGGAAATTAGTAATGTGTCTTGCTACCGGTGTGGGGTTAATGCTATTTTTGATAGAATTTATGTGTTGGAGAATCCTCCGACGGAATGGTTGAATGGTCTTTCCAATATATTGTACACCACATTTGCATGTGATCAAATATATAACTCGAGTGGTGCTACAATTCACCAAAGCGTTGGTTGTAACCGTAATATGAGATTGTGTAGATGTCGTAGATTGAGAAGGAGTAATGAATCGACATGCCTTGCAATGGCCACATCTGTATGTTCCTTTTGTTCTTGTGAGCCAGTTAGATTCTGGCGCCTCAGGAGTCAGAAAACTGTGAACTAAAAGATCTTTTAGATTCTTAGATCTTCGGGCCGTAATTGCTGGATAGCTAGGTAGGGACTTTTGTAGAGTGGTATTATGTAGAAGAATGGGCCAATGCGTAGAGAAGGTTTTAGTCATGTGGCTCCAACCACTATCAAAGGTGGCAATACATCTCGGAGTTGGGATGTTTGTTTTGATACGTGTAGATTTTAGACTCACCACTCTATCTGTTGCACTGGCTCGTTGATATGCTCTTTTTAGGACTTTATTGGGTAATTAGGGTTCAAGCTCAATGGTGGGGCAGTGCAAGGATGTAGACAGTCAGTTCTGAGAGCTGACTATATGTTTGTAGGGAAGGTAAGCCAGAAAAAATATAAAACAGTGAACATATAAATTATTTAACATAAGACATTGAGTGGCATGCTCTAATGCTCGCACTTCCCTGTGCCCCCCGGGCCAAAACTCTCTAGGAAGGGTGGCAATAAATGCACAGTAGCTGGACCCCTTAAATGTAGGTGTCATTATTGGCATGGTGATTTCTAACATGTGATCCACTTAGTGTGCATATACGTAGTGAAAATATAAGTGTGAGCGGACACCAGTATGCGCACCCCTTAGCATTTATTGGTCTAAGTAAAAATAAATATTTCTCCCATGCTATTAGTCGCAAGAGTTTTTTTGTGTGTGTGTGTGTCCCTTCATCCTCCTGTTTCCCGCTTCCCCTTTCTCTCAACGTTCCTCCCGCAACTCCTTCCCTACTCGTTATAGAAATATATTAGCAATGTACATGCTTCCCCTCGACCATGTTCAGCCCCCCACATGTTACATACATTTAACAATATGGTAGGAGAACTAAAGATAAAAGGATATTGGTCATTAAACCAGGTGGTTGATCACAAAGGATAGGTAACATGAATTTGCTATAATCCCATCATCTTGTGGGTGAATGACAGTCCTGTCTCAACCGAAGTCAGATCAGCTTCTCACTTTGCCAAACAGCAGTCCCTTATTTTATTCAGGTTCCCACTTGTTGGTCACCTCTGAATTGAGAGGGTCTCTTCTTGGCGTGTTTCTGGAAGCTCGAGGGCTGATAGCTTCTCTAAGGCTGGTTTAGTATTCGGAGGTGTAAGGTGGGAAATGCCCAAGGTTTTTGTGACAGGCTAAATTCTAGATATATCTTAGATGAAATGGGTCACATTATTCTGGACCATTAGTTTAAATGGGTGTCCCATCTGTAGCAAACACTGCCAGGGTATGAGCTGTAGTGAGCAGTTTCATATCCCAGCATTTACTGAGCGTGATTCGGTAAAGGTCTCAAGAGAAGGTCGGGTTTATAGATTGGAACACCGTGGTTTTTCTTGCCTCTGTCTTTGCTGGCAAAGTAGTGTAGTCTTACAATTACATACCTTTTTGTAGGCTTGTTGGCAGCTGGGGGTTGCAGTGCTCTGTAGGCCTTGTTGATGGTGAGCTCTTGGAGTTGAGGTCCATGGGAGCAGAGACTGAAAAATATCCTGTAGCATCAGGAGAATAGCTTCAAGGAGTACTTTCTAGAGGAGGCCTCTTATGTGGATATTATTTCTCCTGGAGCGGTTATTAAGGTCCTCCATCCTATTTTCTAG